ACTTTAACGGTTTAAAAGCGATATATACCTATTAGTTAAACTTATTTGAAAATTATTTAAACTACGGCTCGACGTTTAGGATGCTTTGCAGCAGCCGTGGTCACGGGGAGACTACGAAAATTAAATACAACTTTTTCAACTGTTCAAAACAAACTAAAAAAAATGAATAGTATCGTTGTTACTCCACAACTACAGTCTGCTTGTACTTTGGGTTCAGGCGTTCGAGGCAATCCGTATTAAAAATTAAATCATTATTTTTAGTATAAAAAAAGGTTTTTATTTCATTTACTATTTCAGTAATGTCCAGTACCCTAAGAATAAATTAAAAATAATACTCTAGCCTTTATGGACTGTAATTCGTATACATATTTCTACATGTAACGCTCTGTTGCATTATATTAAGTTCCGGTAGAGTAAATCTTTATTCTTGTGAGTGTTTGCGCAGAAAGGATTTAAGCACTGGCCGGCTTACGGTTTTGTAAATAACTCCCAGCCCGGGCTCAGTATTAAGAAAGTTATAAACTGAAACCGCGAGACAGATTTTCTGGAATTTTCTGAGCTTATAAATCGGGGTACTTGTTAAATTTTTATGAATATTTATGGCTAAACTTTTATCAATTGTTTTAACAAGTAACTGGACCTCAAAAATGCAAACAAGCCTTATTTTTTTAGAATTCAAAATCTTCTAGACTAAACACATTTCAACATTTGAAAACATTAATATTTTTCCCATGTTTTTGCCCAAAAAGGCCCCATAAAATTTAAAAAAAAAAAAAAAAAAAAAAAAATTTTCCCCCCCGGGGGGGGGGCCCCCCCCCCCCCCCCCCCCCCCCCCGTTTTTCCCCCCCCCCGGCGCCCCCCCCCCCCCCCCCCCCCCCCCCTTTTTCCCCCCTTTTTTTCCCCCCCCCCCCCCCCCCCCCGTTCCCCCCCCCCCCCCCCCCCCCCCCAAAAAAAAAAAAAAAAAAAAAAAAAAAAAAAAAAAAAAAATAAATTTTTTTTTTTTTTTATTTTTAAAAAAAATTTTTTTATAAAAATAAAATAAAAAATTAAAATTTTAAAAAATTTTTCCTCTATAAACCTCCATTTTCCAAATTCCCCAACCAAGAAACAAAAAACCAAAGGGCCCGGGGGGGGGGGGGGAAAGACAAAAAGGGGGGGGGGGGGGGGGGGGGGGGAGAAAAAAAAAAGGGGGGGGGGGGGGGGGGGGGGGGCCGGGGGGGGGGGGGCCCCCCCCCCCCCCCCCCCCCCCCCCCCCCCCCCCCCCCCCCCCCCCCCCCCCCCTTTTTTTTTTTTTTTTTTTTTTTTTTTTACATTTCAACATTTTGATTTCTGTCAGCGCCAAAACAAATAAATATTTTTATAAAATATGTCTCACTAGATATATATATATCTAGAATATAACTTGCCAATTATTAAGCTTATTATTATTATAATAATATAATCAACAAACATCGTATTTTATAAGTTGATTTTTAATGAAATATTTATAATGTTTAAATTTTAAGGAGAAGTAAAAATCTATATACATAAATTGAAAATTATTTTTACACCGGCCGTACATGAACCGGCACCCCCAGTGACGTCATCGTCGAATTTTTCAACCCATTGATATAAGCACTACATTCTCTAGGGCAATTTACAACTGTTTCGATCAAATTAGATTGTTAATTAAAATAATACCATGTACTACAACATTTGAGTATTATTAAACTTTTAAAGCAGTTATTCATTTAAAAGTTTCCCATAAAACCTCTTTTATCGATGAAACACCTCGCTCTCAAAAGTCACGACTCCACGAGTATCGTATAATAGGCGATAGCACAAAAAACGTAAGCAATAGGTCAAGTGAAGTCGAAAATCAGATAATGAAAGAAAGCACCGGCTCGGATAATGCTTCAAACGCGAACGTTACTCGAAGTGACACGCGCATTCACGTATCATTATCAAGAGAACAAACTGTTATAACAATAGACGGCTATCATCAAAACTAGTGATAAGATTAAAGCGTTTTAAATCGAAGCCGAAGATTCGGTTTAAATTGAAAAAAAACATGTAATATTTATTTAAAAATTTATTAGAAATTGAAAAAATTTACACGGGCAGTACTTGAACCGGCATTAACAACGTTTCGTGCTGTTGCTCTTACCAATTGAGTTACCGTGTCTCCGTGTGTACTCGCAAAATGTAATCAAGTCCTGCCCGCGTCGTTATTTTTTTTCAATTTATCATCGATTTTCGATTTATATAGAGACATGCCATTGACACCATCTGAAAAATATTAAATGCAAATAAAACGTAAGTGCAATGGAAAGGAATGAAGGTATAACTAAAGGCTTCGGAAACCTAGAGGTTATATTAGTTGTTAAATTATTATAACATGAAATTTTAATATTGATATTTCCATTTTCGTTCGTGTCATAAAATCAAATAGTAATGCCAAACAATAATCTTAGTTAAAGCTCTATTAACGTTTAAAACCATCCGATGGAAATAGAATTCGTAGTTGTCACGAAGACAAAATTTGATTAAACCGAGTCACAACGAATTTCCCCCCCGTCCCTATTTTATACCTACTGTTATTAATTCAGTCATTTATCCAATTTTTTGCGTCTTATGTTGCCCTTGTATTTTGCACTCTTTCTTTAGACGTAATCTAAACTAATCCTATAAAGCTCTGAAATCATAGATCGTTTTGTGTTTGTTTTCATTTATTGAGAATGACTTTAGGCTAAAAAATATATATGAAAGAATAATAAAAAATGCGCCTGACAATATATATCTATGTGTTAGGATTAACTTGCAAGAACGACGGGACGCGGACGAACTCAGGCACAGCTATTGTTGACGAGACATCGTTTGTGATAAAGAGGCTGTTGGTGCTATGTTGTCAGACTAAATATATATAACACATATATAAACAGGATAAGAGTTTAAAGACTAACATAAAACGTATTTAAGATATAATGGTGGTAACCAAGGATTATATTATATTGTCATACAAGTATTTTATTATATACATATGTATATGCAAAAGACAACTAAGGATTTTTTGTAAGCTACAAACACATTTCACAAACCGTCCAAGTGGTTCTATACAAAATGTTTCTGGGAACAATAGAGTGTTGACGCTGACCATATCTACCCTTTCCAGGGCGGAAGGATGTGGATTTAGTTACGCTAGCTGTAGATAGTCCAGGATCTAGTTCCCATGCGTCCAACAGCGGGCATTATTGTATTGTTTTCAAAAGCTGTAACTGCGATTCACACTCCGCTTCCACTCTAGCGCTTAAACAACAGAAATAATTCCAAGTATGTTTAAGATTATACAACACATATGAAAGACCAACTAATATTTTTCTTGTTATGTAGTGAAACTTGTAACTTTATATGATAGCCGAAGGGAAATTATCTTAGTAAATAAAAAGGGGAAAAAGATGTTCGACATTGCATAGGTATTGTATATGTAAAAATATAAGTATATATTATTAAAAGAAAACAAGGAAAATAAGTTAACTTATGTAGTTCGCGTATTAAACCGTTAAAATTGTTATATTTAAAAAAACATCTATAGGTTTCAAATAGAAAATATAAAGATTACGTATTTCGAAGTTTATTATTTTTATATCTTATTGCACATCACCTATGCTATATAAAATAAAAATCTATGAAGATTTAAAAGCTAAGATTTAAAAGGTTGGGTGAGATACGATAGCTCAATTATTTATAGCACATTAGCACGATCCTCGGTGGATCGGTTATCCAGCTCGAGTCTCGCCCGTGTCATCTTTTGTTTTCAACTTAAGTAACTGTTTAATTTACATAAGGACTATATACATTATAAATTTAATTGCATACTGTAATCTATTTATTAGTTCAATTGAATAGTCGACTTGTTTTCGTGCTGTGGCAATTATAAACGATCGTTAGCTACTTGTAAAAACTTCTCGTCGCTAGCGACTTTCTGTTAATAACAAAGTGATTATGTAACTGGACTAAGTTAAATAACGGACATTGACGTATTCTAACTTCTGCCATTAGTTAACCGCAGCCAATTACGCTGCAGAACGGTAATCTGTTTTCGGAGTTTCAACAAACTGCATGCAAACACTGGAACTTCGCTTAGTGCATTGTGCGAGATATATATACGTATTTGTACACAATGTTTGAGATAGTTCAAACCACTAGCCTTTTTTGCTTTTTTTTAAGTAATAGCGGTAGTCACTAAAGTATTCACTTGACGGTAGTTGATATATATCGAGCATCGAAACAAGATGCGCTATTCGGTAATCCACAGACTGAAACCGAAACGCGATTAAGCTGCACGGCTTTTTTATCTGTGGACGGTGGTTCACAGATAAAAAAGAAAGAAAGAAATAAATAAATAAATCCAACAAGTTGCGCTGTGACTTTGTCGTCTTTGGATATTCGGATCATATGATAATCATTGACAGACAAGAAACTAATGTATAATCTAGGTATTTGATAAATGTTATAAATTTGAATCTTCCTTCATTGTATTTTAAGGTACTTTTTAATAATAGTTTTATGTAGACGAAGACAAAAAAGCAATGGAAATCGATCCAGGAGATTTATTGTTTTAAATTACATTAAAGTCAAAAAATATATTAAGAGATAAGTATTGCCTGTAGTTTACGCGAATATTACACATTTGTATAAAACACTTTTAGCGGTTTAAAACGCGAAATAAACTAGAAAACTTATTTTTTTTTATTTTAACTATCGATATATATATTTTATCGATCTCATGATTCGGATACTTGGGAGCAGTCAAGGTCAGGAAAGTACCGTTAAAAGTGTTTTATTTAATAAGATGAATAGTTGTGAAATACTGTACAAAACTTCATTCTTAGTTCTGATATTTAAATGTGTATAATCTAAGAAGAGTGATCGAACAAAATGGACACTCCTGCGCATCTAAACCTTTTTGTTATCTCTCGCGCAGGTAGGAGCAGCGTCGGCTGGGTGGCGGACATGGCGAGATGAGCGCGCCGCTGTCTGCCGCCGAGGCACTTTCCTCTCTGCTGTGGCAGCCCTACGACTGTCGCTCGCCGCCGCTTGCGCGATCACGAACCGATGGCGCGCTCTCTAACGCTCAGGGCTGTCAGAGGTAATCTTAATATTCAATAACTTGTTGAGACAAATAGCTCCTTTTTGCGATAGATAAATACAAAAATAACAAATAAAAAAAACACTCGTTCATGATTTATGATGAATGTTGAATGAATGATTAACAGATTTTGCTAAGAACAAAACATACAACACCTATTAAAACAGTGACCTGGCTCAATCCCCGGGAATAAAGAGTATCGTTTGAACAGGGGGAACAATCCAATGATCTGTAAATACACACATCAGATATTGCAGTCTATATTACATTTATCTCACAAACTTTTAGTTTCTATTGATATAAGGTAAAAGTAGGCTTTGTTTACGAAATGTTTAATCATTCACGTATTATACTTCAGTCTTTTAATAGATCCTGTCTGTATTTTTTTTAATCGTTCCTATCGATACATATTATAAAATTGAACCTACTGTCATCACTACATCGTAGTGGTAGTAGGTTAAATTTCATTATCATTAAACGATGCTAAATAAAAAAATCGATTTTTAAATTGAAAAACAATACGACACGAATTTGACCGGCATTCACAGCGTTCCGTGTTTTTGCTCTAACCAATTGAGCTACTTTGCCTGTCCGAGTCGAAAAATGTTTTTCAATCTAAAATCGATTTTTAAATTATATAGCGCTATCATGTGTGAAATATAATAAATTTTATTAACATTAGCTTTTAGTGTTTGTTTGTAAATAACGTTGTGTTCTAGCAGCCCTGCCACCGTCTGGTATATCGCGGGGGGCGAGGCGCGGCAGTCGCCTCACGGCGGTCGTCATGCGCGCGCGTCGTTGTCAATCCTACCCGAGATGCGGCTGCCCGTGCCGGCGCCCGCTCCGTTGCGAAAGACCGACTCAGTGTCAGTGCGTGTGCCTGGCGAGCCGAGCCATGTGAACATAGTGCAGGTGCCGTTGAATGTGAACAGTGCGGTGCAAACGGAAACAGAGAGGAATGTCGTCAGCGCCGAGTGCCAGACCGAGGAGCCCCGGAGGCGGAGGGCCCGCCGGGGCAGGGCACCCAGGGTCCCCGACATCGAGAGCGTGCCACCGCCCCCGTATAGCACGCTGCCGCCCGTGCATCCTGTGCATCCCGTGCCAGTTGCCCCGGTTCCACCTGCGATAGTCGCCCCACACCCCCCTGCGCATCGTTTCCCCTTTCAACCGGTACCGCTCAGGTATGTCTTACCTGTCCAAATTACTATAAGCAAAAATGGGTTTATTGTTGCGCTGGGGCATTGCAACCTGTCATTTAAAAAAAGAACGCTGGGCCAGGCTACGTAAAGCAGTTAAACGAGTACTTTACGTTGTTCCAATGTGAAAGTGCGTTCGGTACGGAACTGATCGGTTCTATTATACTGTGGCCGGTTTCTCTCGCACGAACAGCTAACTAATAATCAAACAAAATATAGTGCAAAAGCACTTTTAAAATTATAGAATCGCTACTCTGCGTACACGCTGTCTTCCTGGGTAACACATGATGCCGCAAGAACCCGCGGGTAATGTGACACCACTTTAGATGATCTAAATCAATTGAGAAACAGGAATTGTTGCTGTCATTAAGTGAAGAATAGATAAAACTGAAAAATAGCACCGTGGTCTGTATGCCATGCTTTTGAGTAGAAGCCGAGCCAGCACAAAGTTTCGCAAATAAAAAAGAAAAATCAAAAGTTGTACTTTGCTTTTCACATTGTTATTTTGTTGCGTTAATTCGAAAAAGGCAAACATCGAGATTTTTTCATGCCGATTTATAAGGACGTACGACAATAGTAGGTAGATTGTAAATTGATATTTTAATACTATTGTTAAGCGTATGAAACATAAATAGAATATCTCAAACGGACCGTAGCCCGTATCTCATGCATTGCAGTATCGCCCGTTGAAATCTTTTGCAGCTTTATATTTTTCGTGCGTTATCTCGACCTCGATATATTTTTCAATTTCATTTTGTTTTCTATTTAATTTTGTAAACTGGAGTACTTTGCTTCATAGTTTATTAGTTTCTGCTTTTGAAATACAATAATTTCGCAATTTAGATAAAATAGATGTAATATATTTCATGTACAAGTCGTATTAAAGATAAAAAATATAATTACGACAAATGTTAGGCCATGTCGCCTTTTGAGGATATAAAAAGGTAATCTATTATTAAGATTAGTTATATTATGATCGCACTTATAGTTTACGCGAGTAGTAAATATTAACAAATTTGAATCAATCTACAATCAGTACTAAATTATATTTGTAAGTGATGTTTCAATCGGTTATAAATCGTTTTATTTAATATATATTACTTTTACAATAGCGTTTCATTTCAACTTTCTGTCCGCCTATTTGATTGTTGTTACAGTTACTATGTTATAAGATAATAACGAGTTTTATTTGACCTTGTATGTCTATTGTCTAACATATTTACGATACAAGGCCCGTAGAACGATGTTTCCAAATACATTCCATTATTGAAATAATGCGAAATATCGCGTTTCGATTCATTTTAATAGTTTTTAACTACCTACTTAAGTTTCAAAAATTTCTGTAGTATTGAAGATTTTAACATTTATTATAGAGATATTTAAAATGTATCGATATCTAGTTATAGATGGTACACAATCAGAATTGGTTTTATCGGGGCAGTAAAGGTAATTAAACTGGTTTAGTGATAGTGCAAGAGGAATGATGAGACTGAATCAGAAACTCGGAACTGGTTCACAGACATGTGGTGGAAAGTAAGCAGGTTGTTTATTTAGAACGAATTTATTTCTTACTTTACGAAGAAATTGAATTCTTTACGAATCACCAGTGATAATTACGTTAAACGACTGGTTTTAAGAGTATTGGGGACGGCAAAAGTATGTACCGGACGCTAGCGAAATTTTTGATAAACAATTACCTAGTTAGTACAAATATAAAATAAATAAGACACACTTTTAAGATACGAGAAAATTTAAATAATTTGAAAGACAATATTTACTGAACCAAATATATATTAGTTAATGATTGCTTATCTTAGTTAAGAATAAAGGCTTATTAAACGTAATTAGTGATTGCTAATTATATGACAATAATTCGGACATATGTACAGAATAATACGGTATAATTTTCTCGTTCTTAGCTCGAATTTCACGTGGAATGTTAAGAATAAAAATATGTATTAATTCATTAATTTTATCTCTATTGCGTTATTAATTATGCAAACTGTTGTTTTAGATGCAATATAAGATTATAAATATGCAAAATGCTCGAGACTTCTTGTTTTGGCTTAACCTTGCTCGGTAATTCATTTAGGTTACATTTCCCAACGATTTCTACGTCGACCATATTTTCTAACCAAGTATAAGAGATTATCTTCTATTGTTATAAGTATTGTAGTGTTTTAACCAGTCGTAACGGAAATTTATCAACAGATTTTGCGAAGATTTTGTACACGCATTACCGCTAATAGCTCAAATCATAATTACAAATATAGTCGATGATTGGATAGTTGTTGGGGTATGATACCTTAGGGGGTTGGTATCTAAAGGCGCTGATTGAAAGTACTTAAGAATAAATACAAAATCCATAACAACGACAAGTACAAACCTTCGGGAAGTAGCCTACATTACACTTCAACGTTTTACACATTTTATTAATATTCACCGTATCAAAATAGTTGTATCGCGTTCAGGCTTTAAGATAAATTGAGTTTATGTACGGCCAATTAATAACTTTTTACTCGCGTTGAAACTGAGTACTTATACGGCACGCAGAAATAACAACGTGTCTGTATTTCATACAATACTTATGCTTGTTAAAATTCATCTTAAAAAAGAAGTACGACAAGGAACAAACTTGTTTATATTCGAGTGAAAACTCAAGCCGCGTTCAATAGAGTCGGACATTTCGTATGTCAATCAAGAAAACGAAGTGTGGGTACAGTCAGCAACTAAATGTAAGATTATACCTATAATTTTAATGAATGTAAAATCAAAGGAAAATGTTATAAAAACTTTACTGTAGAGAGAAAAATATGAAGGTTTTATAATACTGTATGATGTAGGATTTGCAACCTAACTATGCCCTTATTCTTACACTGTGCCGGTGAAAAGTGACAGCGTTTAATGACTTCCTTTGCTGACTGTACTTGCTCAGTGGCCCAGATATCGCGAGGTCCGTGTAGGTCGGAGAGTGACACAGTAAGAGCCTATGTTGGACGCCCTCATATCTCACATATTATAGAACAACTACATTTCTTGTCATTATTTTCTTAACGGGTAATACTAGAAAACCTACACAGGTTTACTTATTACGAAATAATACATTGCATTTAAAAACTTATCATAGTTGTCCTTTAAAAGCGTACGACACATTGGTTTTTATAGCTTGTCAATAATGAATTATGTTCTAGATAACACTGACATTGTTTTATACACAGCACAATTGTAACTACTACATGCTTATATAAATTAAAAATCGATTTTACATTAAAACATTTTAGGACTGGGGCAGGACTTGAGCCGGCATCCATAGCGTTCCGTGCTATGTACTAACGAATTGATCTACCGTGTTTAGTAAAGTTTGTGCTATAACATGTGAAAAATATTAAAGTATATAATATATAAACATTCTTATTTAAAAAAGAAAGTATTATAAGTGCTATAATAGAAGATTTTCTTAATAATTGTATTTGTAAATAGCGCTTTCTTTAAAAACATTTTACGCACATATATTCAAGTACTTTGCGCTTCTTCACTAATTTCACATGTATTGCGCATTTCGCAAACCGACGATATTGACCGACTAAACTTTTGGAGGACATTACTATGTTTACATTCGGTGGTGGCGAAAATAACGAACGGTGGATGAATGTTAAAGCCACTTTTAAGCTTACCTAACATATTTCTAACAGTATCGCAATGTATGACCTAGTTGATTACGATATTATATTTCTAGGGTCCGCATGTAAGCAAAAGTATGTGTTTCTCATATATGTAGATTTTTATGGCCTTTTGTGTAAACGCGTGACCTGCCTAATATGTATATATATTTGTATAAGTCTATAAGTAGTATATAAGTAATACATTTTCGACGGACTCGTTGGTCTAATGGTAGCTTAGTAGGGGGGTCGATCCCCACCAGGTCCATGTTTCTACTTTTCAATTAATAATATTTCTGAAACATATATGGAGATATTAAATGTGTGGCAGGAATATAGAAATTCCGTACGGGTCACGAACCACCCTCCACAGATGAAAACGCCGTGAAGCTGAATCGCGTTTTGGTTTCAGGCTGGGGGGGGGGGGCCGGAAGGCCCAAAAAAAAAAAAGGGGGAAACCCCCCCTTTTTTGGAGGCTAGGGGGGCCCTCTGGGGAACCCATGCTTGTCTGTCCTCCTCTATAGTTAAAAAAATACAAGTTTCACTGTATTCAATGCATCGCAGCTAAAACAAAGGCCCGTCGCTAGTCCGCCGCCACCGTTCTCATAATATTATAAAAAGCGATAAGTACGTCCGTAACAGGAGCACCTTTCCATATGTTTTATTTATTAAAATTCTGTACGGTTCTATTCCGAGAGTCAACACTTCCTTGAATGTTAAGCTTACGTCTATACTCGCACCTCTGGTTGGCATTCGGCCAACATCCTAATGGCACGGGACTGCCAAAGCCACCGGAAAATCTTCTATGCTTTAAATTTGTAGCTGAAATTGAATTGATTTAATATATCGGCAGTCGATCGGTTAATCTAAAATTTATGAATACGTCTCTGACTTTTATAGAGCGTTATACAGATAAGAATGTTTTATATACATAATATCTAAACCTAGACTACACTGTCCATGAATCTTTTTAAGGCAGTGTAGATATAAGTTTTTTTAAATGATGCTCTAATGCTCCAATATACCTACTTGGTTTCAACATATATCGCTCTCCAAATATTGGTACAAGTACTCTTGTCTTGTTTCGAAGAAGAATGGCATTACCAGACTGAAGGATCCTACTTTATGCGATAACTTGGTCTGGTGATGACGACTCCTACTCCAAAGGAGGTTTAATGGAAAAAGCCTTTATTACGAATACTACACTTTACAATTATAAAGTGGAAAGGGAAAAAACCAAAGGAGGTTAATACCTAGTAAAAATCTTTTAAAAAAATCTTATACAAAATTAACATTTTGCCCGTCCTGGGTTTCGAAAGGCGGACCTCGTGATTGTGATCGAGTGTATAAGCCACTAGACCAACGAGTTACCAACAAAAATTGCCATGTTTGAAAAAATTATTGCACAGAAGCGCTAAACAATTGAAAAATC